CATCCATGTCATTAAGGTCAACTCTACTTTGAGGAGGCAGCTCTTTCCCAGTTGTATTCTGAGTGCCTTCCAAACTGAAGGGCTCATCTTCCAGCATTATATCAGACAATGTTCCGCTGCTATCTGTAAGGTTTGCACTGGCAAATATTTTTCAGAAGTAGACTGCCAGGTCCTTTTTCCTAGTCTGTCTTAGTCTGGAAGCTCCACTGAAACCTGTCCCCCATGGGTGACTTGGCTGTTATGTGAAATAGCAGTGGCACAGCTTCCAGCATCATAGCAACATGCAAGCCACCACAGTACCACATACTGACAGACAAGTAGTGGGGACACATGGTAGGGCTCAATAAATAGCTGAACTATGATCCAGACGTAATAAAAGTTATACTAGAGTTGCCTAAACAGTACAATTCACAGTCCACCAGGTGTTATTTATAGAAAGGCAAGTGAAGCATTGGTACCTGTGTCATTTATAGATAATAGCAGATGGAACTAGGCGATAAGACTCAAAACCCCTATATTCCAGGGTAATTTAGTTTTTCAAACTAGATCATATAGAATCTATTAGTTTATGATAAAATATAAGCTACATGCAATTTTTAATGTAGACAATGTTACATACTTTCATATTATCATACATGCTAAAGTAGAACAATGTATAACGAAAAACCAAGTGTGGCATACAAAAGCAGCCCTGGTGGTGAAGTGGTTAAAGAGCTTGGCTTCTAACCAAAAGGTCAGGAGCTCGAATTCACCAGCTTCTCTGCAGAAGAAAAGATGTGACAGTCTGCTTCTGTAAGGATTACAGCCTTGACAACCCTATGGGGCAGTTCTATTCGGTCCTATAGTGTCGCTATGAGTCAGAATCAACTTGATGGCAATGGATTTGGATGGCATATAATGCTTAAGAAGCACGTGGCATAAATAAAAATTACTTGATCAAATTTTATAGGTATAGGAAAAAGTCAAATGTTAGACATTTACCTATGGAATTATCTGATCCTTTTGATTTGGTATACGACAAAAATGCAGCTAGAAAAAAGATAGATGACAAAAGTTCTGCTCTTCCTACAACACCTGTTACCTAGAAAGGAAAAAGGGGGAGCGGATTCCAAATTAATGAAGAGTATTTTGAAAATGTTACATAATACCAACAGCACTTTAAATAGAAATTAAATCATCATAACTTTTTAAATACACATTTCTATTTGTTACAAAGTCCTTGAGTGCCCTCATGTGGTGAATTTGTATAATATCCATGAATGAAACTATCAG